CCAAAAGGCGCATGCCCCCTGGACCACCCACGAGGAGCCAACAAAGTCCTGTGACCGAGGGTTGGGATAAGGTACCATTTTGCCTACCTTTTGTAAGTGATGCGATCAGCGCTGCTGTAAGATCTTCTCTGCGCAGGTGTGGTTCGAGTGGTCGAGATCCCCCCGCGAGCCTCAAGCAGCAGCTGATCCGCAACCGCGGGTATGATCGCTACTGCCCAACCCCACATTGTGTTACATGTCCTTCTGGGCGGGAGGGGGACTGCATGGTTTCAGCCACGATCTATCTGATCTCATGCACGAGTTGTGGGGATGAGTACATCGTGGAGATAGGACGACGCTGCAGGGTGAAGGAACATCAGACGGTCTCAAACGATCTAGGCCAGAGATCCCCCTGGGTAGCCATCGTGTTCAGTGCCATGGAGGCGAGGTAACTGTCAGGATTTTGGTGCGAGAACTCCAGACTTCTGCGCGCAAGAGTTTGGAGGCGTCTTATGCGCTTAAAACCCCAAAATGAACAAGAAGGATGCCGAAGGAGGACGAATGCCTAGCCATCACAAACGAGCTCGCCCCGTTTGCTGACCTGTGTGGGCTTCAATTGCCATCGGCTTCGAGTCGAGGGGCCTAGGTCAGCTGAAGCCACCCACGGGGAGTCAGTTTAGCGGTGGTCTCAAGCAAAACCTGCCGTACATTCAAGGTGAGTCGTGTTGTGTGACCTATGACAGGTTTCTGGACCCTTCTGGTCTGGGACGAACTTATCTGAGGTTTGAAATGATGTTGAGGGATAGTTTCACCTGATCTTTGATTTTTCCAGGCTCTGACGAAGGCGATAAGGCCGAAACGTAAGCCAAATAAAACTGTTGTATCATCTTGGTTCGGCTACAGTAATATCCTAGACAGAAGCTCACAATATGCCAAGATTCATGGAGGGTCGAACATGGACATGATAGTCATCTTTAAGGGATCAAACTGTTCCTTCGGAACTAATGCCCAGAACTGTACGCGCGGAAAAATTTCTCAATTGGGATCTGGTTTGAATTATCAAGGAATGGGGCAGTAAAGTGCCGTCAGCTAAATCATCCAAGAAAAAAATCAGATAGAATGGCTCTCACGGAGGCTTGGGACCGACTAGGCGGAAGTCGAATCCCTGATCATATGTGGGGTAAGCGATGCCATTTGCTTACACCGCTCTGTACCTACGCTACGAATGTGAGGGAAAAACCGCTCCAACCACAAGAATGCCCGCTTAGTCATGCTTTACTAACTCAGGAATAGCGCAAGCAGTGAAGAAGGACCGGCAGTTCGTCGACGGGGAGGAGGGCATTTTGTACTACACTGCTTTCTAGTTCCGGTTTACAAGTCTCACTCTGGCGAAACCTGTGAACTCTTGTGAAGCTGGAACAAGGTCGTCAAGCCATCATGTTAAAACCTGTCAACTCGAGAAGAGGCTGTCTAGATAGGTCGACACGTCGATGGGAGGTGCAAAAGAGCAAAATGCCCCCCCATGGTCAAACTGCGCCGAAAAACCTTTACGATACGATGGAAGTTCGTCACGAAAGTCGCCTCCGTGGAAAGGATCTTCCCGTGCAGCTGAGTTAAACGAAATTCCATAGCGATACGTGCAAGCCGAAGAGATTTCAGTTTGGATTCATCTTGCAGTTCTGATGGCCTCCACCTTTCTGAACTGTCTGCCTGACCCTCCCAAATCGCAACTCCTTACTATTTGTTCACATGGCTACTGTTGTCTCGAAGGAGTTTTTATTTCTAACTCTCCTATGGATTACTATGGCAGTACAGTTGAATAGTTCGAATACAGATCATACAATAGGGTAAAGTAAGGTGATAATGACCTATATAAATTCGTTCGAGATAAGGATTAGCGACATCAAGCTAGTAAACCGAGGTAATGAGCAACACTTGGCTACTAACAATTGAATTAATTAGGATTAACCACGTGGAAAAGTCCATTCCGGGGGGGGGCACTCACATCACTTTCGAGAAGGGTCGAGTATACCTACCGTGAGCAGAGGGGTGTGAAAGGGAGGTTCAAAATGAACTCGCCGTTCCGGAAGCATGACTCATACTTATGAAACAAAGGATGCCTACTTGCGCGAGGAAAAAAGAGGAACAGTTGGCAAGACATGAAAAACCAGCGATAGTGGAGACCCCTCCCCACCCCAACATCTCCTAACCTTTCAGAGGGACCTGGCTTTGGGAGTTCACCCTTCAATGGGGGTGCGACTACAAAAATACTTTACTAAATTTGAAAACCAATAACTGAGACCTGATGAGAAATGTATGTGAAGCATACATTTACATGTACATTGTATGTGAGCATGTCAGAAAAAAAAGAAAAAAGTGACGGAAAGTTCAAAAATACGCATTTTTGGACTTCCGTTTCCACATTTATGGCTCACCCTGTATAGCGGACGTGACCTTGACAACGCTATAACTATGCTTGAACAAAAAATCGCATGACGAGGTCTGGAAAAGGGAAAGGAAGCCGGCCAACAGCCCTCTTATTTTTTATGAACCTGCCCTCACTTTGCAGGTTTCTTTATCAAACAATGAACGCCACCCTTAAAATTACATGAATTGTAGTCGGAATTGTTGGGCAGGAAAACGGGCATTTCAAATCGCTGAAGGAGCCTGGAAATCTATTTCCACGTCATACACGGCTCAGCTGTTCAGTTCAC